GAAATGATGGAGTAAACATGGAAAAATATATGGAGAGAAGTTTTGGAAAAAATAATGGAATAAAAGAATGGTGGTTGAAATTCCTTAACGGCTTCTGAAAACCTTCAACCAGAAGACCTAAGGCAAACCCTAGGAAAACTGCAGATTTATGGCTTTTATTTCCCTGGTCTTTCTGTACATTTGGAAACAAACTGTAAATTTTTTTTTTTTTTTGGCATGTGGGGCTCAAAGCGCCACAAGGAAGTCTCTCACCACAAGAAACAAAAGTTGCGAGCCAGGATTCATGAATTCTTCCAAAGGTATGTCAGATAAGGGCTATTTTGTACTTCTATCTAATGTGCTTTCCTTCCACAGATTTTTCAGTGCTTTCCAGATATTAATGAATGGAACTTCTCCCAGACAAAGGACCTCAGGCCTAGAAAAATTAAGCCCGTGCTTTTGAGAGAGGCCTCTGTTTTGGATACCTCCATTGTCAGATCCCTAGCTTGGGCAGTAATTTTTAAGTGCTACATAGAATGCACTTCAAAAGGTGACCAAATGGCTTCTCCCGGTGCCCTCCATCCCTGCCTCTGAATTATCCTTAGAGAGTGAAGGAAATATGAATTGGAGCAATGTTTTCATGATCCAGCTATATGTGACCTTCAGATAAATATATGCATCAAATTACCTGTAAAGAAATGAATGGAGGAAATAAATAAATAAATATCTCGTGATATAGCAAAGGAACATATGTTCTTCTGTGACAGCTGATGAGCATGGTGGTGAGCGCAAAAGAGGCCTATCTTCACTGAATAAATTGTTCTCTTAAATCTAATAACCAGCAAAAGGAGGGAAAGGAGAAAAATCGTGCAACCCGAAAAGAGATCAAATGTGGTTATTTAAATGTTTGATGTTCAGTAATGAAAGCTGTTTACCTTCATAATTGTGTATTAGCAGCTAATAAAGGCAATAGATACAGTAGTTTAAAAGTAATAAAATCAACAACAAAGTGTATTTAATTTTAAATTGAATTGCAAGCAAATGGGTGTCCTAATGAACCCCTGTGTCAATGCAGCTCTAACCAAATTAAGTGAAATAATTTCCATCATGAGAAACTAAATAAGTACAAAGTTCCAAACAGACCACTCTTCTGAAGGAGAGAAGTTAACTTCTCAGATGTTTCAGCTCTGTGAATTAGCTAGAGCCATTCAAGAAGCATCTCCTCTTTAGGACAACTGGATCCCAGCTGACTTAACTGCAGCTCAAGGATAAAACTTCAAAGGTGGTTGACCCTGTGCTGCTTCTATTCAGTCCTTAGCACTGGAAATTTGTCCTTAGTTGTCACAGGCCCTGGCTTGGGCAAAATTCCCATGTACATTAGTGGGACTAGTGTCTACACAGACCTTCCAACTGATTCAGCTATTGCCTGGGCACTTACATGATTCCTCTACTGGTGGAGGAATCTGGAAAACAATTTAGCTATGCACCAGTGGTAATTTTGCTGATGTAAATGTGTATATATATGTTTAAAAAAGAAGGCATAGGCAAGGTCTGAGTAGAAACTGACTTGTAGCAATATACCAGGGACTTGGAGACAGGAGTATCCATTTCAGAAGAGAGAATTTGAACTATGTGTTACCTAGATCGCATGTGTGCATGAGTCTGGGATGTTTAGCATTATTACAGAGTCTCTGTAATTTTCTTGATAAAGAACCATGTTATTTTACAAGTGTTGAGGCTTCTCATACTATCACCTAGACTGCAAAGGAGGAACCAGGAATGAAGACATTTGAGTTGAATTTTCCAAAAGCAAGTCAGTAAATACTGAAGAAATGTTGCAGAAGAGCAGTCCAGGGAAATGATGTTGCTTTTGGGTTTTGATTTTTTTTTTTTTTTTTTAATGAACACCAAATTTTTTCATTTTCTTTTGTGGCTAAAAACTTAACTGAATACAGGGCTTGAAAACCTAAGAGAGCCTGTCCTCTGATTGTCTGTGTTGCAGACACCCAAGCTACTACAGAATTGCAACTGTACATGAAACAGTGATTTCTTCTTGTCTCTGTATGGTTCCTCTCAGTATACTGCAGGCAGCTCCCTTGACCGTCAGGGTGGCATGTGGCTGGCCCTCAGCCACGAACAGCCCACTCAGCCCCCAGCTTCTGAGTGTCATCATGGCTTTCTCTGGGCTCTGCTGCCTTGACCTGGCTCCACCTGCAAGTGTGGCTGGAGCACTGCAGCACTGGCATGGCCAACCAACCCTCCCCAGCCTTTTAAAGTGGGCTGTGGAAGCAAGAGCTGAAATGTTTTGAAGCCAGAAGAACATCTATAGATGTTTTCACTTAGGTCCATTTCTATTTAGATACCGGTGCTCATGGTTCTGCGTCTGCTGAAAGATGGAATGGGATTGATAAAGCATACAGCTTTATAGTGTTTACTGTAAATGACTTAGTTTTGTATTTGTTCCTGCTGTGCTCTAGGAACAAGGCTTTCTCCACAGGGTACCATGCCTTTTGTGTATCCTGTTTACTAAGCAAGGCAGCGTTGGGTTATCCAGCGTAGGGGCTGTTCTTATGCTATTTGCTGGCATTCTGTGCTACAGGGACCTCTCTCTTTTTTTCTTTTTTTTTTTTTTTCTTTTAATATGTTTGAGCTCATATAATTACACCCCAAATTACTTTAACTACACAAGAAATTAACATATGAATTCCAAGGAACATGTAATGGTTCATATACAGCTGAAAATTTGTGTACATGCATGTGTGTGTATATGTACATATATATGATTTATATATATTTAATATATAAAAATATATTTTAGAATATTTATAAAGATATAAGATTTATATACACATTTATGTTCTCTCTTTTTTTTTTTTTTTTA